GCCTGGGTAACGGGCGGCTGCTGCTGCTGCAACGCCGGGAACGCCTCGGGGGGGCAACGTTGCACGCCGGTCGGGGGAAGTGGGTAGAATCGGGGGAGCGCAAACATGGATGAGCGATCCATGGATTTGGCGCGCGGTCGCCAAATCCATGGATCGGGGGAGGTGCCCTCCCCAAAACGCGGCCAGAACCACCTCGTTCGGCGGCGGAAATCCGCGATTTCCCATGGAAACGGGACCCGTCACCCGTCGCCAATCCACGCCCCTTTGATCCATGTTTGCGATCGCCTGGGTAGAAACATGAAGTAGGAAGGCGATGAAAGCAGGCTTCCTCCCGCCCCCCGAGGACGAGGGAGGAGGGAAGGCCACTCCACTCTTTTGAAGTACGAGTGCGCCTAAAAAGTGGATTGGGACGTGGACATCCAGGGATACATACGCTCAACGACCAACTGGTAGGGGAGGAAAAGGCTCAGGGAGGGAAACGTCGACTTGGAATCGGCGATGCCTCGCCGATGCATCGGCGTGAGGATCCCGATAGCGACTCCGCATGGTCCTGGGCGGGATGGGCCGATAGGGGCCCGAAAGCCCATCCCGCCCAGGACCATGCGAATCCGCTGTCGGGGCTCCACCGCCGATCTATCGGCGATGTATATCACCGATTCCATATCGATGTTTCCCCCCCTGAGCCTATTCCCGTCCGAGGTTGCCACTGAGCCTCTGGTGGGAGAGGGGCCCTCGTTCAGGTTCTCAGGCATGCTGAGCACAACATGGGCTTACCACTTATTTTTAAACATTGTTTTTTGCTTAAATCTGTTTTGTTATTCAAGAAACGTGAACTTAGCGCTAATTGGATGAAGCGTGCAAGCGATTCGTTATTTCTGGAGAAGGCCTGGGGACCCACCCAAACGGCCCCTGGTCGGCTCGACCGAGCTTCTTCTGGAAGGCTCGCAAGAACCATCGCTGCCAAAACGGTCCCGGGACCCCTGGCAGGCCTCCGAGAGGCCCCTCCAAGGGGCACTCACGTGCCCCTGAAAGGGCCCCGGGAGGCCCCGGATATGCCCTAAACGGGAGGCCTCCCAGATGGGATCCGAGTGCAGTTACAGTAAGGATGCGCGACAAGGATGCAAGGGCCTTGGAAACTAATTTCGAAGTTTTCCGAGCGGGGCGCGGTCAACGAAAGTGACCAAGGATGGACCGAGGAGGCAAGGATTCGAGGACACCCTCGGGACAGTTACCCATCCTGACTATGCGGGTTGACTGTAGTTGGGGTCGGAGGATCTGGCCTTCATCGCCGATGCATCGCCATTGTTAATGCATCGGCGACGTCGGTGTGGAGAAGATCGGGCTGTACATGGAACCGCATCGCCGATGCATCGGCGAAGCGGCGTGATCCTCCGACCCCACCTACGCGGACACCGTTTGGGAAGACTGGACAGAAAAGCCAAGGAAACCTCTCGACAACACCCCCCCAGAAACCGACGCAACTACAGCACGCAGCGTCACGACCGCGGTACGCTACAGCATGTCGCAGCAGATGCCCCCCCAGACAGACCTCAAGGCTGGCTCTGCCGAGTCCGCTCTGGAAAGCGCACGGACTTCGAAGTAGCGCATGCTGCGCTGGCACGGTGGTTGGGTTTCCCTCGGCGTCGCCCCGAGTGGGGAAATTAGAAGAAACAAACAACGGCATAAACATAAACTTCTGGCGCTCCGCGCGGATTTCTTGGATCTGCGCTGGACCCCCCTCCCTGGCGCGCGGAGCGCACCAGGGGCGGCGGCGGCGGCGTCGCTGGGGGGGGACCCAACGCGGATCAAAGAAATCCGCGCGGAGCGCCAAACGTTTATGCTTATGGCGTTTTTACTTCTTTGAGCGCCGGCACGGTGGCTGGGTTTCCCTCGGCGTCACCCCGAGTGTGGAAGTGAGAGGGGGCGGAAGGCGGTGGGGATTCTCAGAAGCCCTCGGGCCCTCTGAGAAACCGTCCGCGGCCTCGGAGAGTGGGTCTCCACCGTAGTCTACGGTGGATTCGTGTCGTGACGACCCAAGCGCTGGGTTCTGAAGCCACGTGGATCGTTCAACCTTGAAGGATCGCCAGCTTTTTCATCGCCACACTTGCCAGATGATGCCATCTTGCGAGGCGAACTGCTCTGCACCACGTCGGGACGGTGAGGGGAACACGAGGGAGGACGGAAGACATGCAGAGATGCTGAAGAAACTTTTCGGGATGAGGGTTCCAAGGGCGGGAAAGGTCCTTGGAGGTTCAGAGGGTCGGAGGGGGAAGGGAAGGGGGAGGAAGGAGGGAGGGTAGGAGGAAGTGAGGCGACTGGAAGTAGGAGTAAACAAGGAGAGAACGAGGAGGAGGAGGAAGACCAACAACAACATGGGGGACAGAGGAGGTAGGCGGGAGGGTAGGCGGACGGAGTGACGGGGGAGAGAGGGGGATCGGAGCAGAGCAGCATAAGCGACGAAGGCCACAGCCTCTGGAGGACGAGCGGCCGCGGAGGGCGAGCAGGGGCCAGCGCACGACCTTGAGCGTCGTCGCCGTCGTCGTCGTACCGAGTTCACGGCTGCGGGGAGAGAGGCCAATGCCGAGCCATGGGAGGGGGATGAACTGGGGGAACGGAGAGAGACCGTCTCCTCCATCCTCGTCCTCCCTTGTCCCTACTCTTCCTCCCTCCTCCCCCTTCTCCTAGTCCTCCCGTCCTCCCGTCCTCCCGTCCTCCTCCTCCTCCTCCTCGATGCCGCTGCTCCCCAAACCCTTTCAGGGGTACATTCTGCTTAGAGTTTCGGGGCAAACCCAGCAGTCGCCACGAGGGAAGGGCAGCGGTCTGGGTACATCTTTCTCTTTTGATGAGCGGTGGGAGGAGGAGATGTACGGAGGAGGAACAGTGGCAAGGCAAAGCGCCCCGATGTTCGCCCCGGGGGGGGGGAGGGGGGGTGGCAGTCCTCTAAGAGCTCGGAGGGGTCGCCGGAGCGCCGAAACTCAGGATCGAACCATAGACCCCATTGAATCACTTCTCCCATCATACTGATATAATGAAACGTTACGCAAAGAAGGAACAGTGAAACAGGATGGAGGAGCGGCGCGGAGCTGCAGCAGCTGGCTGGAGCGCCTGCTGCTGCTGCTGTTGCGGCAGGTGCTGCTGCTGTGGCGCCTGCTGCTGCTGCATCTCCTGGGCAGCTCAGACAGCGTTCACAAACCAGGGCACTCGAGTGATTGGTCACCTAACTAGGTCACCGCACTTCTAAGACAGCTAGCTAGGTACGTGACCTAACTAGGTCGCCAAAACAAATCACCCTCTATGACACCTATCCTCCCGCACCGCGCCCCGCGATGTGCAACTCGTGTGTATGCTTGCGCCCTCGCGAAGCCACCTTGGAGAAGGGCGCCTCTCCAACCCGAGCCGCGGTGCGCGAAGAACAATCATCTTCGCGCCCCTGGGGGGCACGTACTTGTTCTGAGCTCAAGCCAGAGCCTGCAAGAATGGGGACCAGACAAGCCGAGAACGATGCTCAACGACAAAATGTTGTCCAAAGCACCAGCGCCCGCTGTTGGGCAAGCTCCATTCGTTCCATTGCACATCGTCTGCGGAAACACGGACAATGACCCCTGTCCGGCATGGAAAATCGGAGATCCGCTGACCCAGGTCAATGCAGACCCGGGTCAGCCGGGCCTTGCAAGATCCTGCAAAATCCTGCAGGATCCTGCACCCAAACCCGGGTCAATGCGAGGGATCCTGCAGGATCCTGCACCCAAACCCGGGTCAATGCGAACCTGGCCGTGCAGGATCCTGCAGGATCGGGCGCTCTGGCTGACCCCAGTTTGCATTGACCCCCGTCTCAAGGCTCCCGAGACAGGGGCTGCTGTCCGCTTCCGTTACTCTTGTTCCCGTCACCGTGCCGCCACCCCTGCCTCACGGTGAGCTTTCACGAGAGGGAGAACCTGGAGGCCTCCCGGATAGGGGGTCCGAACAGATGAGGTCGGAGGGTCGCGCCGCATCGGCGATGCATCGCCGACTTCGGCGGTGCATAGCCGCCTCGCCCCTGCAACGGCGATGCGGCGCGATCCTCCGACCTCATCTACAGTGGAGGCCAGTCCACAGGAAACCTTCCCCAAGAAACACAACCCTGAGACCCCAGGACGTCCATGGATTCTTGGCGTGGGCACTTCACGCCTTCCACAGCAAAACCCTTCAAGCCCAAGAAACCCAGGGCACCCTGGAGGCAAGCAGGGTGTTCCTTGGCATGGGCCTGCACTGCACTCGTCGGACCCCATCTAGAAGGCCTCGAGAAGCGGCTCGCCGAAGGAAGCGGGCCCTGGTCACGGGGCCTTCTCTCGGGAACCGTCACGGCTCAACTTGCGTCGTGTGCTGTGGCGGCCCCGTCGAGGGCTCCGTGAGCCCGAGAGCGATAACAAAAACAACAGGACCCGCTCCCCTCAGGACCCGGTTCCATCACTCGGGGGACCTAAGTTAGGAGGGCCAGGAATGTTAGGGATAGGGTTTCTTTTTTGCAGCCAGATCGAATCAAATCGCCCATAATGATTGTCCCAAACGCGAAGACGACGATGGTGTTATTAGGGTTCGGGGTTCTTTTCTCCTTAAGGTTTTTTTTGCAATGCGACGTCAAGGCCTATCGCTGTCTGTGCCCTGACTGCCGAAACTGCCTGGCAGGCGCACCTCTGAAATAATCAAAGGTGCGAACCTCGGAGCTTGTTAACGCCCAGGGCCAAAAGCCCAGGACCCGACTCTATCACGTGACGCCCAGTGCGGATTTTTTGGATCTGTGCTGAATCCCCCTCCATGGCGCGCGGTGCGCGCCAGGGCCGGCACCAGAGGCGCCGCCAGTGGGCCCAGCGCCGATCCGGGAAATCCGCGCGGAACTCCCACACCACAATCCATGTTCATGCTCATGACGTGTCTTTCTTCTCCGATTCATGGAGGATCTCCTGCTGCTGGGGCACCTGCTGCCCCAACACCTGCTGGCCCGCCATCTGCGGCCCCGGCACCTGCTGCCCTGGCACTTGCTGCCCCGGCAGCGCCGCCATCGGCACCTGCTGCTGCTGCTGCTGCTGCGCCTGCTGCCGCGCCTCCTGGGGGTGGCTCCAACTGTGAAGAAACAACTCCTGGGAGGTCTTCGCAAGAACTGGAGAGGGCTGACCTTCGTGAACCGTGTCAGGACAGGGGAATCGAAGGGTGGATGAACGGGAGAAAAGAAGGTCCATTGGAACGATAACAAGATAAAAAGGTCTGGCACTGTTGTGACGATGAAGGTGCTTGAATACGCAACCCCGTGAAAGAAGCCCCATGGGGCTAGCAAAAGAAACCCGTACCACAAGGACCTTTCAATAGTAGTCGAAGGAGGATTGCTAATCGAAGGCCTCACGAAACACATTCAACCCAGCAAGAGGCTTAGTGTACACCAATACAATGTTCATTCTCTCTCATGTCCTTTGATGATCATTTGGGGTGTTCTCGACGAGATGGAGGAACACCTCTGGGATTCGCTAGTTTTCCCAAAAAATGGAGGGAGTAGCCACAGGAAGAGTGGAACACATCGTATCGACATCGTTTCGGAAGCGGGGGCACTCGGAGGTGTGTGTGTGTGTGATGGATTTCTCCTACATGAGCAGTGCTCTCACAAAGCGTTTCGACCGCTCGCCCAGCCGCTAGCATCACTTGACGTCGAAATACGAATAGTATGGACGCTACGAATCATTTGTGTCTACATGCCGTACGGCCGGCGCGATGATATTGAAGTAGAGCTGGTCTATGAACATATACACAGAGCGGCGATGTATTTATCAAGGGATGCGCTGTCATCGCGGCCGGACACTTCAATGCCGAGCTGGGGCAGAGAAGCGAATCTGATGACGCGCGTAGGCAACAACCCCATGCCGCAGAGGAACGTGAGAGGCGGTATGGTTGCTCAGTGGTACATGTCGAACGGCATTGCGATTGTTAACTCAATGTCCAGAAGAAGGATCCTTCGATGAAGCCTAGACGCATACCCGAATGGAAAGCAACCACAGTTACATTGTCTTCTTGTTGGCCAAGCCATGCGTCCAGCTGTGGTTTCATGCACAGTCGCCAATGGCAGGGAACCGAACTCCATACACCGATGCTTTTTGCGGCCCTGCATTGAAATTTGCTGAAGAAAATGGATCCCGGCGTATACGGGATCCTGGTGTGTAAATTTTCGTGTCTTCTCCAGGAACACGGGGAAACAAGTATACGCCACACCACCCCGACGTCGCCCCCGACCCTCAAGACGTCCTGGTAGTGAAAAACAGCCCGTCGCTGTTAAGGTATATGCTCCAGTTTCCGGAATGGCGCAGACGCCGGGTCTGATCACTGGCCCCTGCGCTTACGCAGGTCGATGCCTGCCTCAAGACGGCGTAAGAACAGAGAATACACAAAGGCAGGATCTGCAGCCCAGACCTTGATGTGTGGCACGTCTTGAGGAGAAGGTCGACCACGTTGCGTGGGAGACGTTGATTGCACTGAAATGAATTACATGTTGGAGACGTGCATGGTGGAGGCTGCCCGCGAAACCCGTGAACATTCAACACCAAAAACCAACCCCGCACCAACAGCAACATGGACCGGACCAGAAGCTCACGATGACGATCCAGATGCGCCGCAACCTTCAGAGCGTCGACCTGCCTGCCCTTGACAAGAGCAAACTGCGAATTGCGTGGGGCAGAGAAAGTAAGAGGCTCATCCGGGCCAGGGCAGCAGAACGGCGCTCAGAGAACATGAGACATGTCCTTTCCAATTCCCGATTAATACAACATGTACCAGCAGCTGCAGGATCCAAGACACGAGAGCATATCATCACGATCACGAGGAATGCTAGCGAGACGTAGCATGGGCTCGCACATGTGTTTGTTAAGTTCTTTGAAACTAAATTTACGAGCATGCGCAGCGGCAGCTGGGAAGAGACATACATGTTCGATGGCGAACAACGCGATCCAGATTTCACGGTCTGTACGTTGAACTTCCCAAAGTAGATTGCCCAATGTTGAAAGACTTGGTGGTGACATCCTCCAATGCCATACCGTGCCCAGACAAGCGCTTGCTTGAAAAATGGCTCACTGCGCGGATCACCGTCTTGTTCGGAAAACAAATCGCCACACTGTTGGCAAACTACAGGCCGATCTGCGATATTTGCCGTGATCTGACATGTGTTTCGCAACATGCTGTACAGCCACCTACGCAGCGTCATCGTGTCGAGACAATCGGTGGACCAAGAAACATACAAAACACATTTCAAAATGGTGGGCCGTTGCCCTCGTGGCGGAAAGGTGCCACGAGTTCACGACGTGTGGGTTGGCATGATCGGCTTCGAGAAGGAGCCAGCGTGCTCAACAGAAAGCAACGGCGGTAGCAGGAGAATGAAGTCGCTCTTCTAACCTGGCGCGAAGAGTAACTCTAAAAAGGCATACATATTTTGAAATGTTGGGGCTCCGCGCAGACGTCTTGGATCTGCGCTGGACCCCCTCCCTGGCGCGCGGAGCGTGCCATGGGTGGCGCCGGTGGCGGGGGGGGGCCAGCGCGGATCCAAGAAATCCGCGCGGAGCGCCAACAGTTTATGTCTATGGTGTTGTTTCTTCTTCGAGTAAAGCAAGGAGGGCCCATCAATTCATCGTTGTTCATCTTTCTTATTGCAACGTTTTTCCGCAAGCTGAAAGGCAAGTCGAACAATCTAAGCACTAGCGCAAGCAGCGACAATATTATGGGCTGGTCATGCCGACCAGTTGACGACCTTGTGCCTCGCCATTAGCGTTAACTTGCGGGCGGGTTGCAGAAGGAACGTGGCCCGCATGGTTGCCGACGTAGGCGTGGTGTCCAGGAAATACAGACTAAAGGTGCACATGGGGAACAAATTGGTGTTCACCACTACAGTAGGAGCCCGTCCACAAGAAGCCTTCCACAAGAAACCCAGCCCTGAGACCCCAGGACGTCCATAGATTTTTGGTGTGGGAACGTCATGCCGTCTATAGCAAAACCATCGGAACCCAAGAAAACCAGTGCACCCTGGAGGGAAGCAGGATGTTTCTTGGCATGGGCCTCCACTGTACAGGCTGAAGGTGCACATGGGGAAAACAGTGGTGTTCACCACTACTGCACATCGTTCGCAGAACGTCTCATGCGGCGACCACAATGTACGGGTGCGTCAAGCTAGAGAGTACGGAACATGCTTGGGTCGGCGGTTCTCGCTGAACGACCGTCACTCAACGGCAGATGAACACAGGCTTTCCGCTGGCCGGGAGTCCTTCCGCAAATGGAAGCATATATTGTGCCACGGGCACGCTCCTCTGGCGCACAAGATGCACCTGCTCCCGTCAATAGGGAGCCCACAAAAGAAAGGACGTACGCGCCCAACTATGTACATGAACGCGGGCCCTTGACCCGCGAGACCGGCCGCGTGACCCGAACAATCGCGCAGTGCGAACTCTCGAAACCAACGTGGATTCATGTACGTGTACGTCCTTCTTTCGCTCCTGAGGCGAGCGCCGCTCCGTGCCTCCTGCATGCCGCGAGCACGCGGACCCTGACGGCAGCGCAGAACGGCGAGCTACGGCCGACGCAGAGCAGGACACTCGGGCCGACTGTCGGCGCGAGGCGACGCCCGGAGGAGTGCTGGGCGGAGCTCATCGAGCGCGCCACCGCCACTGGCTTGGCCCTTGCAGAGCGCAGCGGCGCAGATGACTGGGCGATGTGCAGCATGGAGGGCCAAATGGGCGTTGAGCTGGCAATGTGGATGCTGCGGGTGATAGGCGCTGGACTGCGCGTCTGATCGACGCGATCCCCTGGCTCTGCGTCACCGCCAGGAGGAGCACCGGAGGGCAGCGCCAACGCTGGCCAGAAGCATGAAGACCGTGTCCTGTATCTCACCAGCCTGCTCTGGAAGTTGCACTGAGGCTTCCGGACTGGCGCGCTGCTGGGGCAGACGCCCCTTAGCATCCCCAGGGGCCTCTCTCTCTCTCTCTTTTTTTTTCTTTCTCTCTCTCTCTCTCTCTTTGCTCCTCTCTGCCTTTGCAAGATCGACGAAGGGCTACCATTGTACCAAATTTGCCCATTGAGCCGGACAAGCCCAGATAAAGCCAAAGCTTGAGCCCGGCTGCGCCAAATTCAGCGGAATTCAAAGGGATTGTGATGGACTGGGCCAGTTCTCGGCCACGGATATACCAGCGCTGATGCCGAATTAAGCCTCCCAGGCGCTGCAGCCTAGACCATGACCCTGGAGGAGGAGGGTCCTCGACGCTCTTCGCCGCCCCATGTTCCGAGCTTGCGGCAGGGCCATCAGCTCGTCGTTGTCCTTGTCGTCATTGTCGTCGTCGTGGTGGTCGTCGTCGTCCTTCTGGGTCGGGGGCACCGGCCGTACAGTAGGGGCTCGACCACAAGAAACCTTTCACAAGAAACCCAACCCTGAGACCCCAGGGCGTCCATTGATTTTTGGTATGAGAACGTCGCGCTGTCCATAGCAGAACCCTCGAAACCCAAGAAACCCAGGGCACGCAAGGCGTTTCTCGGCATGGGTCTCCACTGTTAGGCCCTCACAAGAGGTTCTGGAGGAAGGCGGCGGCACCAGAGGTAAGGCCTTCACAACAGGGAGGAGGAGGAGGACGGGGACGAGGAGGAGGAGGAGGAGGAGTGGAGTGGAGTGGACACCATCACGAGGTGATAAGGAGGACGAGGAGGAGGAGGAGGAGGAGGAGGAGGAGGAGGAGGAGGAGGAGGAGGAGGAGGAGGGGGGGAAGGGGAGGAGGAGGAGGAGGAGGAGGAGGAGGAGGAGGAGGAGGAGGAGGAGGAGGAGAAGGAGTCCTGGAGGAAGAGGGTCCTCGACATTCTTCGCCGTACTCCCGGGCCCCTGGGGCTACTGCCGCGGGCCTCGAGGCCGCCCCGGCAGAAGAGCTCCGGGGTCAAGGCCCGCGAGCCCCGGAATCGGGAGGGCAGTACCGTCGGCCCGTGTCAGGAGGATGCGCGATAAGGATGCAAGGGCCTTGGACGCCCACTTCGAAGCTTCTCGAGCGGGGCGCGGCCAACGAAAGTGGCCAAGGATGGACCGAGGAGGCAAGGATGCAAGGGTACCCTTGGGAGAGTGGCCCATCCTTACCATTCGGGTTGACTGTAACCAATGCCACGCTGACGGCGATGTTGCTGAACTGCGATGTTGGGAATCTGGCGTCTGCGACGCCGAACTCACGCAGAACAGATAGTAGGAAAACGCTTACAGCGCTTTCCTGCAGTTGGGATGGCCACGAAGCACCACCACCTTCAATACCAACACCTACATCGCCGTTGCCTACATCGCCGTTCGTGCGTTCACGGAATAGGGGGCAATCACCGTGGCCTTTTGTTGAACGTCGGCCACCCGATTTCGTGGGGCAGCAGAACTCGCGTACCTGGAGGACAATGGGCAACTATTGGACCACTTGCGCGCGCGGCGGGTTCTTGGTCAGAATCCTTCTTCCTTCTGGCGACTGCCCCAGGCCGAAGAGAAAAAGGCATGCGAAACGGTGTCGAGAGAGAGGAACACGCGCGCCCCGTTGGTCTGCCTGTGGGGCCTCCCTTCGCTCCCTGGCCCAGTGGCGTGCTCAAAACAGCCTGGCCCCTGGCACGGTTCTCTCGTGCATGCTCTCTGCGGCTGTCGCTCCAGATTGCCCTTCAAGGCTCAGTTTACGCCGCCGGGCCGCCTCAGGGGTACTCTTGGGTTGTGTCGCCAAAGCTGCCCAGGTGCGAACCCTATATGATCCACGGACGGTTTTCCTGCCGGCTCGTTCGCCCCAAAAGGTCCCCCGACAAGGCCAATCAAAAAAGGCCCCAGCATAGAACCCAACGCGACAAGTTTGAGAACGGGGGATTGTGGAGTACCTCGGAGTCGAGGAAGCGCGCGAGACTTTCACACTGAGTTCGCGCGTGCGTCTTTGAGTGCTCTACGTGTTCTGTGGTGTCCTCCTATTCTTCCTCCTCCTCCTACTGTTTTCCTGGTCCTCCTCCTCCTCCTCCTCCTCCTCTGCGTTATGCGCGGGGAGCGTGAGAGGTAACGGCCACCCCATCCCATTGCCCTTTTCTGCCTTGCGCGTGGAGAGAGAAAGAGAGAGAGAGAGAGAGCAAACAGAGAGAGAGAGAGAGGAAGAGAGCGAGAAGCACACACACATAAATACATATATATATATATATACACATATATATATATATATATATATATATATTATATATATATATATATATAGAACCACGCGCGCGCTTCGCGCGCGCTTAGGTTCTGTCGAGTCACAGACCCAGGAATCGTTGTGAGAAGAAATTGGTGACGCGAAGCGTCGTGGGGGCGTCCTTGGACGTCTGGGGTCTCCTGGGGCCTCTTGAGGGGCCTCCTGGGGGCCTCCTGGCGGCCTCTTGGGGCGGAAGGCTCGAGCTTGCGGTTCGTGGTCCCCCTCTGGGCCCCCTCTTGGGCCCGTCTTGGGGCCCTCTTGGGCCATCTTGGGCGCCTCTTGGGCCGTCTTGGGGCCCTCTTGGGCTGTCCTGGGGGCTTCTTGGGCCGTCTTGGGGCGGTCTTGGGCGCCTCGTGGGCCGTCCTGTAACGTCGGAAAGCCCAAAAAGCAACTTTGTTGAAAAATGTACGTTTTACGAAGGGAATGGGCCAATTTTTGCGTCTAGGGGCCCTCTTGGGACGCATGTTGGAGGCTTCTTGGGGCCTCTTGGGGGCGTCCTTGGACGTCTGGAGGCCATCTTCAGCATCTCGGAGCCCTCTTGGAGGCCTCTTGGAAGTTTCTTGGGCCGTCTTGGGCGCTCTGACTTGTCTGGGGGAGGCCTCCGGCAAGCCCCGACGAGCCTCCGGGCCCCCCGGGGCGCACATTTGTGGTCGGGGTCCCGGCCCCGGGCCCCCGGACCCGGTGTGGGGGCCTCCTGGCGGCCTCTTGGGGCGGAAGGCTCGAGCTTGCGGTTCGTGGTCCCCCTCTGGGCCCCCTCTTGGGCCCGTCTTGGGGCCCTCTTGGGCCATCTTGGGCGCCTCTTGGGCCGTCTTGGGGCCCTCTTGGGCTGTCCTGGGGCCCTCTTGGAAGCTTCTTGGGCCGTTTTGGGGCGGTCTTGGGCGCCTCTTGGGCCGTCCTGTAACGTCGGAAAACCCAAAAGACAACTTTGTTGAAAATGTACGTTTTACGAAGGGAATGGGCCAATTTTTGCGTCTAGGGGCCCTCTTGGGACGCATGTTGGAGGCTTCTTGGGGCCTCTTGGGGGCGTCCTTGGACGTCTGGGGTCTCCTGGGGCCTCTTGAGGGGCCTCCTGGGGGCCTCCTGGCGGCCTCTTGGGGCGGAAGGCTCGAGCTTGCGGTTCGTGGTCCCCCTCTGGGCCCCCTCTTGGGCCCGTCTTGGGGCCCTCTTGGGCCATCTTGGGCGCCTCTTGGGCCGTCTTGGGGCCTCTTGAGCCGTCGCCTCTTGGGCCGTCCTGTAACGTCGGAAAGCCCAAAAGGCGACTTTGTTGAAAATGTACGTTTTACGAAGGGAATGGGCCAACTTTTGCGTCTAGGGGCCCTCTTGGGACGCATGTTGGAGGCTTCTTGGGGCCTCTTGGGGGCGTCCTTGGACGTCTGGGGTCTCCTGGGGCCTCTTGAGGGGCCTCCTGGAAGGCTCGAGCTTGCGGTTCGTGGTCCCCCTCTGGGCCCCCTCTTGGGCCCGTCTTGGGGCCCTCTTGGGCCATCTTTTTTTTTTTTTGACATCGGATCTCGAATGTGTGCGTCGCGAGCTACGCCTCGTAGTCGCCGACGCATCGCCGGGCCGGCCCGTCGGCTGCGCCGGCGCGCACCGCCGCGGGAGGAGCAAGAGGAAACGATGCGGTACTGCGTGCGGAAGTCGCATGCAGAAGGCGCTGGAAAAGTCCCCGGCCGCACCCCGCCCTGCAGCGGATGGCGCGCGGAAGCGTCGAGTAAACAGAAAAACTGCGTCAGCAGCCCGGGTGTGCGTGCAACCCCGGGTGCCTTTCTGCGAACGCAGCGGCGGGGAAAACGACATGCTTGAGCAGCTCGGGCGTGCGTGTAATCCCGAGTGCCTTTCTGCGGGAGCATGCCCGTGGAGACTTCTGCCGGCCCTCGTCAAAATTAAACGCGAGAGGCCGCGGGGGCAGGAATGGAGGAGGGGGAAAGGAGGGCCGAGAGCGAGGAAACCACATTAGGAGCAACCTTTTTGATCCGGGGGCGGCGCGGACAGGAGACAGAGCCTACAGTTCACAGTCCCAGGCAAGGTGAGCTTGCCAAACATTTGAGCTGAACGCAGTGCAGGCGCAGACACGTAACGTTTGCCAGACGACTAGGATGCAGTGAGACAGTGAGACGTAAGTACACGATTCGGACAGGTCATGTGGGGGTAACAGGGCCAACCTGTCATCGCAACGTCATAGCAACTGCCCATCCTTTGGCGCGCGAGAGCCAGCTGTGCCGATTCAAACAAAAACGCATCCCCTGGGTTTCCGAGCCAACTTATCACCGTATCTTCTATGAAGGAGGATAGACGAGTAAGGAGGGAAGCCCTGGGAGGATGGAGGCCTATGGCAAGAGCCACTCATGTCAGGTCAGGTGGATCTGGCGGCAGCCGCCGTTGCAGGAGCTCCTTCAGGAAGACAATGTCTTCATGCAAAGACTCCATCCGGCTCTCCATCGTGCCCTCCCTCTCCTTCAGGAAGTCCATGCTTTGCTGCAAGGTCCCCATCCGGCTCTCCATTGTGCCTGCCGCGTTGTTGTCGTCGCTCTCCTCCACCCAGGACTTGTCGAACCTCTCCGGAGTGCACGCCCAGAGGAACGGCGGCTCATCGAACTGCTTCCCGGCGCCGCCGCAGGCCCCGTCGACAGAACTGTTGCTGCCCTCCGGCACCAGCGCGCTCTGCAGCATGAAACGCACTCTGCAACCAAGCAGAACTGTGGTAACGATCATCGCCGGCAGCCAAGCCGGCGTCATCGCGCTCATCCAGACGGACAGCGCCTCCACGACAAGGAGGATAGCCACGGTCGTGACCACCGCGACGAACGCCCAGAACTTCGCTCGGTGCGGCGTGGAATCGAACAGGTAGCGGTAAGAATCGAGCATGCACTCCCGCTGTGTGAGCCAGTGCATGTAAACGTTTTTCTTCCTCAGCATGAGGCGGCCTTTTAAGCTGACGCTCTTCTTGTTGTAGGTATCGATGGTCGTGGCTAGCAACATGTTAAGAAATGCGACACTGAAAACAAAATGGAATACAACTATCAAGGCGGAATCATACCAGGGCGAATCGAAGTGTTCTACATCGAGCATCACAGGCTCCCCCACGATGAGATTCACCCAAGTCTTCAGAAGTGTATGTGGCAAAGTGTCCTGCCCGAACAGCCCTTGAACTGCTTGAAGCACTGCAACGGATATTATCCAGCATAGTATGAGTAAGATGAGCATGCTAATCATCTTTGGGTCCATGAAAGCGTCGGTCATGGGAATGAGCAGTTCCCCCATCTTGCTTTCTCTCGACAAATGATCAAGGATCCTGAACAGCTTGATTAGCAGGGCCAAGACTAGACACCAAGTCCATGCCTCTGGTCGTGGGCCTTCTTTTTCCTCCCAACAGCCGCAACTGATGAGATAGACACCTGCCGCGTGGTGCAGTGGATCCACGAATGCCCTCCTCGACATGGACTTCGTGATCCTCAGCTCGTCGCTGAGGCTTCGCAGCGCTGACATTACAAATAACACAAACATCACAACATCGAATATCACCTGGGCAATCGCTGGCGCACTAAAGAGCAACCAATACACAGCCAGCTCGTGCAAGTCAGCGTCCCTGACACATACCAGCACGAGCGTCAACATTTGCACGACATTCTCCAAGAATAAAATAGTGCTAAACCACGTCCACTTCCCGTACGTGTAGCACACAACAGCGCGTAGCGTGGTACACGCTTGCAACAAGTCAACCTGCTCTTGAACAGGCATCTGGGTCATTGCACGAAACATACGTATGTCCAGCATCCCCTTGAAGTGCACTACGCGTATCTGGCAGAACCGAGACACCTTAATGTCGGATGCGGTGGAATAACCGCGGAGGAATCCCCAGCACGATGCACGGCATTGTGCACAGAGCTGGAGTACATGCAAAACGCTGTGCATGTCGTGTAAGACTAGCCACCTCGAAACTCGAGACCATAGGAAGCGCAGTCGCCGGCAACAAGTCGTTGACTGGACCGCAAGAACCCACGAGTCCAGCGCATCGAACAGAGTGGAGCAGGATACCAACGCAGATTGCCAGGGCTGGCACCCTTGCATATTCTTGCCGTTGAACGTCCATGTGCCGTCGTGCGCCGACACTGTGTTCATTTCTGTGTACCTGTCGATTACAGCCTGCATTGCCACGGGATTTCTGTTCGGCCTCTCCACTGTGGGCTCCTGCAGAAAGAAGCTATCTAGAAGTATTGTGGCTGCCTTTGGAGCGTGATGAATCAGCAAGGCAATCAACCTCTTTGCTCGCACGTGCTGTTCCCCAGACAACTGCTTGATCTCTTCCGTCCATTCCTTACACAATTCTCCATTTGCCATGACCTTGTCGTGTCTCTGAAGAGTTTGCCACATCTGCTCCAAGAGCGTGCGATGCATCTTCTGTGCCGTCGCCTCCGGGATCCACATGAGGAAGCACAGCTTCGACCGCAGGTCAAACTTGCAGTCCAAGAGCTGAGTGAATATGCGAGGGTGCATGGTTGGAAGAATCTGCGTGATGTCAAACTCCAGGGTCTCCCTCGTCCACTTTTGCGCGTGGGAGATCAGCCTCTCGACGCAGTTCATCCTCACATCGATCGCCCTCCCAAGCGCCGTGGTGCGACGGGCGCAACTCTCCCTGGAGAGCGGGGGGTGGTCGGAATGCCATCCTCTCGAAGCACTTGTTGCTAAATATGACAGCTTCTCGTCTTGCTCCATCCAGCCCAAAAGGCACTGCGCGATCTCTTCATTCTTTGCCCAAGCTGCCTCCCTCAAAATATCGCTGTGCTCGTGGTAATTCACCTTCGACCTGCGAAGTAGGTCAGCGCCGTGATCTCTGAAAACATCGAGCGACGCTTTCCGCATTGCTATAAAACACAAAGGACTTGTTACATGCGCATGTTGGGCGCCTGCTGGAAACAAGTCGTATGTTGCGTCAACGTTGGCTTTGCGATCCAGTAGCAAATGCACGATCCTCTTGTTGAGATCCTTCTCGTCCTCGATCTTGGCATTTGCACTGGCGTAGTCATAGTTCATAATGGCCAGAGTGAGCACCGGACCGCTGAGAATTTTCGGGTTGTACTTCACCTTGAATCGCCGCCTGATCTGCAACAGCCAGGCCGCCTGCGATGGATCGCTCAACACGTCTTTCACCATGTCATAATCAGAGTCCCGCACAGCCGACCAGAGCCTGTCGCATGGGCTTCCCAACCGATCGCGGTCTTCAACATCCTCTGGTCTATGTGGCCAGAGGCTCGCCTCCACGCTGGACCTTTTGTTGACGTGCTCGAACTGCTTCGACCACGCCAAGAGGGCGTCGTTCCACGTCCTCAAGCTGTTCTCAGGGTCCTGAATCGGGTCCTCACCTTCCTTCCACCACAGGTCGCACCCCCATCCACTTCTCGTCCGCACTCTGTGCACCACCTTGACTACGGCCTCTGTGATTATGTCCGCCACGGCGCGTATCGAATCTAAATGAAGCTGGGAGGAGCACGCGTCACACGTCAGTAGTTTGTGTTTCGGCACTGCTACGCAGTCTGCCCTGGCGTTTCGAATAAAATGGGCCAGCACCTCATCTTCGATTGCACCGAAGGGCAACTCCTTATCAAAACTCTTGTGAGTCAAATCAGGGCACGTGCTAATCCCACTGGTCGCACTGCCCCGCCTTTGCATCACAGGGCTAACGCGCTCTACGTGTATGTCGTGGAACTGGACGGCAACCGTCTTCACTAAGCCAGACTGCGACGTCCCGCTTGGACAAGGCTCTGCCGAACTCGGAACTTCCTGCTCCATGAGGACCCCAACGCTCAGCGAGAACTGACACTGGACGCCATTTCGACCACTGCTGCCCTTAAACGTCGACTTGTTCTTGTCCGAAAACCTGCCTCTCAAGTCCCAAAAATCCTCCCCAGTCTGGCAACCATACAGGTCATGCACCAAGTCTGGAGCCCCTTGCACTGCTGTGTCAGGAAATTCGTCCGATGGCTTCGTACTGAAAGCTTTACTGATCGACTCTTTAAGGCAAGCTTCTAACTTACCGATAGCGTCCTGCCCGACCTGACCACTCGGCAACTGCCTGGATAGTTGGCAGGTTGCTTGGTCGGCCACATCGACCAAATTGGCTGGTTGGCAGTGCCATGGGCACAACATCGCGGCATGGGCAACAATGGGAAGGTGGAGCCTTGAGCCAAAATGGCTACGGATGGGGCCCTCTTGGGCCATCTTGGGCGCCTCTTGGGCCGTCTTGGGGCCCTCTTGGGCTGTCCTGGGGGCTTCTTGGGCCGTCTTGGGGCGGTCTTGGGCGCCTCGTGGGCCGTCCTGTAACGTCGGAAAGCCCAAAAAGCAACTTTGTTGAAAAATGTACGTTTACGAAGGGAATGGGCCAATTTTTGCGTCTAGGGGCCCTCTTGGGACGCATGTTGGAGGCTTCTTGGGGCCTCTTGGGGGCGTCCTTGGACGTCTGGAGGCCATCTTCAGCATCTCGGAGCCCTCTTGGAGGCCTCTTGGAAGTTTCTTGGGCCGTCTTGTCTGACCGGGGAGGCCTCCGGCAAGCCCCGACGAGCCTCCGGGCCCCCCGGGGTGCACATTTGTGGTCGAGGTCCCGGCCCCGGGCCCCCGGACCCGGTGCGCCGTTATATGTATAAGAAAAAGAGAGAGAGAGAGAGAGAAACCACCCCACTCCCAGTTCCTCCTCTGCGTTGTGCGCGGAGAGCGTGAGAGGTAACCGCCGCCCCATCTCATTGCCCTTTTTCTGCGCTGCGTGAGGAGAGAGAGAGAGAGAGAGAGAGAGAGAGAGAGAACGAGAGAAAAGAGAGAGAGAGAGAGAGAGAGCGAGAGAGAGAGAGAGACAAAACAGAGAGAGAGAGAGAGAAAGAAAGAGCGCAAAGGAGAGAGGTATATATTGGGAGAGAGAGAGAGAGAGAGAAACAAAAAACACAAACAAAACACCACACCTCCACTTCCTCCTCTGCCTTGTGCGCGAAGAGCGTGAGAGGTAACCGCAGCCCCATTTCATTGCCTTCTTTGTTCTGCGTTGCGTGTGGAGAGAGAGAGAGAGAGACAGAGAGAGAGAAAGCGAGAGAAGAGAGATAGAGAGAGGAAGAGAAAGAGAGAGAGAGAGAGAGAGAACGAGAGAGAGAGAGAGAGAGAACAATCACCGCCCCCACCGTTTGCCCCCGCTCTGGGTGCGTGCGTGCAAAGTGCGGGAGAGCAACCGCTACACCCTCTCGCTTCACCTCCGTGTTTTTTTTTTGCGGGAGTGTAAGAGAGCATCCACTTCCACGCACAGTTCCACGTCAGTATTGTTCGCGGACATGTGAGAGAGCATCAAGTTTCCATTCCCTACTCCTCCCAAGTGTGTGTGTGTGTGTGTGTGTGGTGGGGGGGGGGGGGGTGAGAAGGCATCCGCTGCTCCTTCACAGTTTCCCCTGGATGTTTGGGTTGATAATACGAGAAAACACTCAATCCCGCCACCCTGATCACCCCTTTGCGCTGTGCGTGAAGAGCGCGCGCGAGAGAGAAAGAGAGAGAAAACAAACTAAGACAGAGACAGAGAAAGAGAGAGAGAGAGAGATCCCATACCCGCTCTTCCCCCCATGTGTGGTGTGTGGAGTGTGGAATGCAAGAAGGGTAAGAAGTATGAGGACGATGAACATGTATATATATAGAGAGAGAGAGAAAGAAACAAATGAGGTGCTACGACTCTTCCGTCTCCCCACGCCAGGGTCCTTTCATGGGGGAGAAGATGCTGGAGGGAGAGGGGCAAATATTACGAGCATGAGGGGTAGTAGGAGGAAAAGGAGGGGGAGGAGGAGGAGGAGGAGGAGGAGGAGGAGGAGGAGGAGAAGGAGGAGGAGGAGGAGGAAGAGGAGGAAGAGGAGGGGGGAAGGGGAGGAGGAGGAGGCGGAGGAGGAGGCAGAAAATAACGAAGATAATGATAATGACTGACAGAAAGGGAAGGAGAGGAAGAGAGAGAGAGAGAGACAGAGACAGGAGAATGATAATGATGACGTGAAGGGAAAAAGGAACGTGAAACTTCTCTGGGACACCGAGGTGCTCCACAATCCCTAAGACTCGAAAACTTTATCATATCAATGTTGGCCGTGACGGGCTGGGAACCATGGGTGCCGATTGGGTGGGGAAATTATCCATCCAGCCCCCGGCTTAAGATTGTGGATTTTTGTTGTGGCCGAATGCGGTTGGCGAAGTTCCTGGACGCGCGCCTGAAGACTCCCTTGAGTGGGCAACCACATACGAACCAAAAACTCTACCACTAACCCTGGCCAGGCATTAAGAACCCCCCTAGGTTATTCTTAGCACCCGGTTTTTCAATATTCCAGGCGGGCAATTTTCGCAAAACGATAAATTTAGCACCCGCCGCAAACAGAAAACAAAATCCATCGGTGGCCGCCCCAATAAGGCCAAGAGAGTGTGTCGCAGCGAATGTCAAAGATTTAGCCCAGATTTTTGTGGACCTCTATCCGTGGTAGGCCCTGCTAAACCCTGCTAAGCCCTGCGGGCCGAGGGGCCTTGCTAGGCCTTGCTAGGCGTTGCGAAGCCCTGCCAAGCCCTGCTAAGCCCTGCTGCGCCCTGTGCAGAGTCCTGCTAAGCCCTGCCAGGCAGGCCCTGCTCAGCACTGCTCAGCGCTGCTACGCCCTGCTATGGCCTGCTAGGCGTGGTCCGAGCTTGGTCCGAGGCAAAGCCTTGCGAAGTCCTGCTAAGCCCTGGTCCGAGCGCGGTCCGAGGCTAAGCCCTGCTAGGCCCTGCTAAGCCCTGCTGAGCCTGCTAAGTCCTGGTAAGCCTTGCTAACCCCTGCTAAGCCCTGCTGAGCCGTGCTAAGCCCTGCTACGCCCTGCGCAGCCCTGCTTGGCCTTGCTCGGCCCTGCTAAGCTCTGCTAGGCCCTGCGAAGCCCTGCTGCGCCCTGCTAAGCCCTGCTACGCGTGGTCCGGAGCGCGGTCCCAGTTTAAGCCCTGCTAGGCCTTGCTGAGACCTGCTCAGACCTGCTAAATAAGCCCTGCTGTGCCCTGCTACGACTTGCCAAGCCCTCCTCAGCCCTGCGAAGCCCTGCTAACCCCTGCCAAGCCCTGCTGAGCTCTGGGAAGCCCTGCGAAGCCATGTAAACCCTGCTAAACCATGCTAATTCCTGCTGGGCCCTCCTAAGCCCTGCTACGGCTTGCGCGGAGCCCTGCCAAGCCGTGCTAGTTAAGCTCTGCGAGGCAGGCCCTGCTCAGCCCTGTTACGCTCTGCAACGGCTTGCTCGGAGTGGTCCGAGCGTGCGTGGTCCGAGGCTGCTATAGGCCCTGCTAAGCCGTGCTAAGCCTGCTAATCCTTGCTTGGCCTTGCTCGGCCCTGCTAAGCCCTGCCTAGCCCTGCTGAGCCCTGCTAGGCGTGGGCCCGGCGATGACCTGCTAGGAGTGGCCCGAGCGTGGTCCGAGGCTAAGCCCTGCTAAACCTGCTCAGCCCTGCTCGTCCCCGCCAGGCCCTGGTAAGCCTGGTAAGCATTGCTAAGCCCTGCTAACTCCTGATAAGCCCCGCTTGGCCCTGCTAGGCCTTGCAAAGCCCAGCTAAATCCTGCTTAGCCCTGCAAAGCCTTGCGAAACCGTGCGGGGCCCTGCTAAGCGCCCTGCTGCGCCCAGCTAAGACTTGCTAAGCTCTGCGAAGCCCTGCTAAGCCTTGCGAAGCTAGGCGTGGTCCGAGCGCGGTCCGAGGCTAAGCCCTGCGAAGCCTAGGCCTGATCAGCCTTGCTAAGCAAACCCTGCGAAGACCTGCCAATGCCACGCCTTGCCAAGCCCTGCTAAGCCCTGCCAGGCCCTGCTAAGTCCTGCGGAGCTCTGCTAGGTTCTGCGAAACCCTGCTAAGCCTTGCTAAGCCATGCTGAATCCTGCTGGGCCCTGCTAAGCCTTCCCAAGCAATCTTAGCCTTGTCCAGCCCTGCTCAACCCTGTCGGTCCTTGGTAAGCCCTGATAAACCCTGCTAAACATTGCTAAGCCCTGCTGAATCATGATAAGCCTTGCTGGGTTCTGCTAGGCCGTGCTGGGCCTTGATATTCTTTGCTAGGCTCTGCTACCTGCGAAGCCCTGCTAAGCCCTACTAAGCCTTCCTAAGCCCTGCCAAACGCTGCTATGCACTGCTGGGCACTGCTAAGCTCTGCTAGGCATTGGTAAACCCTGCTATTCGCTGCAAGGCCCTGTTACCTGCTGAGCCCTGCTAAGCCCCTACCAAGCCCCGCTAAGCCTTGCTAGGCCCTGGTAAGCCCTGCTGAGCTCCGACAAGCCCTCCGAAGCCCTGCTAATCCCTGCCACGCACTGCGAAGCCATGCGCAGCCCTGCTAGGCCCTGCTAAGCCTTGCTATGCCAAGATAAGCTCTGCCAAGACTTGCTAGGCCCTGCTAAGGTCTGCTAAAGCCTGCTAAGGCCTCGCTGAGCCCTGCCAGGCCATGCTAAGCCCTGGTCTGCCATGCTACCTGGTATTTTCATAGGCTCCATTACAACCTTCGCGGGCTGTCCTTGGGGTCTCTGGGCGCTTTCTCCTCCTTGTCCTCCTTTTTCCCTCCAGCTTCTCCTCGCCCTCCTGTTCCCATGCGATACGCATTGCAATCCCCTTGCAGAACTCGACGTTCGTCGGCCGCCCCCGCGGGGGGCCATCCGAGGGCAACGCCCCGCTCCGCGCCGAAGCGTCGCCTTAGCACCGGGCGGCGCGGTCATCCCAGAGAGCCCGAAGCGCGGACGCAGAGTGGATCTGAATGTCGTCGTCGTCGTCGCGGTCGTCGTCGTCGCGGTGTTCCTGAGGGGCCCCTGTCCTGATCCCCCGAGTCCTCCTCCTCCCCCTCCTCTTCCTCCTCCGTCTCCTCCCCCCCTCCTCTTTCCTGTGCGACTCCTTCTATATCCCCCTTAAAGAAATCGAACCTCGTCGGCCTTCCGGGGGGGGGTCCAGCCCAGGGTATCGCCCCGCCGCGCATCCCCGCGCTATCATAGCGCCCACGCGACGCGGAAATTCCAAGCAGCCCGAGGTGCGCCCGCGCAGTGATTGGGAATGTGAATAAATCTGAACAGAATTATCACATCATAAACATAATACAAGCTAAGATCTGCTTAGCAATGCTAGCCCTGCCAAGCCTTGCCAGGCCCTGCTAAGCCCTGCTGGACTCTGGTAGGACACGCTCAGCCCCCCCCTGCTTGGCCCTGCCTAGCCCTGCCAAGCCTTGCGAAGTCTTGCTAAGCCTTGCTAAGCCCTGCTAAGCCTGACCAAC